GTTCAATACAATTGTGTGTCGCCATTTGTAATGTGTAATGACAATATATATATGACTCTCAAATGAGTGTACGATTATTGAAATAAGAGCGGCGTAAGAGGGCATTATTGATCCATTTGCGCAGCGCGCTTATTGACATAATGGCCATATATTCGGCCGCTCATTAGGACGGGACTAAGCTAATGAGACTAATGCCCTGATCGGCCTAATTAGGGGTAATTATCCCTCATTAGCAAGTGCAGTTTTTCCTGATGCCCTCGCGAGTTCCTGGCTCTTCGGGACACCGCGTCTGTACGTGACTTGCCCGTCTCGTTCCCAGCTCCACGTGGCCGCAACGTATCTCTAAACGAACACGCTATGCACCGTCCGAGTTGCATTCGTCTGTGGCTATTTACATCGTAGTTTTCACATCGGACGTCCCATCGCATTGAAACAGCGAGTGCCTTGGAGTACATGAACGATCCGTACAGATGAGAGCTGGATGAGCGAAGGCCGGGGCGCATACATGGACTACCTGCATAGGGATAGGAACTGTCCTTGAGCAAATCAGATTGCTCATGAAGAGGAGTAACGTGGCGGCGATCATAGGCACGGCGGCGGCGAAGCCGAGTGCAACGGCGCGCTGTGCATCGCTCGACCTGTTGCTAATGCTCGGGGTCAATGTCTGCGCTCGCCCCATGCGCGTCACGGGGAGGCTGGACGAGGCCAACCACGCGGAGCCGCTCAGGCGGATAGCGTTTCGCTGCAAGAGTCCGAGTCAGCATATGAAAAGTCACGCTGAGCGATCCAGTCTCATCGAGCGTCGCAGTCGCATAGCTGGTGACGACGAGCAGCTGCAGTCTCCTCCGAGTAGAATGACAGAGGAGCACTCATCCGTTACACGTCAAGGGTCTTCGTGCAGCTCCCGTCAACAACAATACCACCGACGCAGCCCTCGGCGCACGTGTTCACGATGTAGGGCCAGATCGAGGCCTTGTTCCCGACAATGGTTACGAGGTGGACGGTACCGCGAGCCGGAGTCGAAGTGCCGACTACAATATTCGAGTCGTGCGCACGGATGCAGGGCGTGATTGTCCTGGGTGACTGCGGAGCGTAGAAGGAACAGAGACGATAAACCCGCCGATTGAAGATGTGGGTAGATGAGGCGGGTGAGGCGCATTGAGGGCAGTTAAGGATCAGCATATGTGCTCAAGATGTGAAATGTGTTGAGTTGACCGAAGATGGTGTTGGCAATATACGTGGAAGCCCCATCGGGCCATGACGTAGAGGTGTATATGCCTTCTTACGTCGAACGCCATAGCACGGTCAAGCGACGCGCATTATTGTACTGCAGAGGACGCCGTGAGCGTCCCGGCCAAGGTGCCTGGGAAATGCTTGCAGGAGAAGAGCACAGACGGCTTACTCACAGTGAAGAAGGCGACATTACCGGGATTGGCAGTGACGTACATGGGTTGGAACACGGTGCTCGTGTTGTTGGCAGTGCTTCAGCCAACGGCAATGACGATTTACTTCGTTGAAGTGACAGTGTCCGCGTACAGTTGGGAGTGCAGGGCAATCTATACGAAGAACAAACGGAATAGACGACATACACCGCAGCGGCAACAGCTGAAACGGAGGGCATCCTGCATAACTTGGACACAAGGACATAGAATAGCACGACGCCATCAGTGTGCACTTTGCTTCGGCCAAGCGAGGAGAAGAGCGCCGTCAGAGCGCGGGTTGCGCCAAGCAAGCGTTCGTGCTCATTGCGGTGTCGACAGGACCGGAGGCATGCGAGTGAGAGAGACGATCAATGTAGAGTCTGGAGCGATGACTGATGAGAAGAAAGAGCATGGGCGGCTTCCCACACAGTCACGTGCTCGTTGCCTTGCGCGGACCCGAATCGCATCTGCCGGTCTGACCATAGTCTCGTGACCAGACGTTCGGAGCTTGAATCGGATGCGAAAAACCGGGGGCATCCGAGCTCCTGAACGTCTGGTGGCTTTACCCCCGTGACTCCCCGCTTGGTGACCTGTGTCACATATCGATCCCATTTGAGGCAGTCCGAACAAGTCAGAGGGCGACGTGCGATGTGGCGGCCTGCTGTTGTAGTTACACCTTGCGAAACCTCCTGTACTGGACACAATGATCTCCTGGATTATCATGTCTGGCTTGCTCTAATATACTCTACATGGCTATCGTTACTCTCTGACTACTATCCCACGAAGAACACACCCGCTCATATGCCATCCTGGAAGCCGCCCAAGACGCCGCCAAAGCCTCGCGTGGATACAACTCGGAGGCCACACAGCAAAGGCTTGAAGAGACCTTCTGACAGCGCATGGGAGGGAAGGTGCCACACCAGTGGCAGGCGGATGTCTCAGAGGCACTGTTGGTGGGATTAGACTGGGTGCGCGAGGATCTATAAGCGCCCATGGAGCGGACTACTGTGTACTGCCTATATGAGAGATAGACAGATTGAGTATGGAGGATGTGTAGCAAAGGCTTGTAGATGTCATAGAGACGTACCAGTTAGAGGAGTGTCGACAAAGAGCGGAGTAGGCTCAGCGCGACTCGAAGATAGCGGGGAGATAAGCAGGCAGACGCGCACGAAGGACAAGAGGCAGGGAGGTCACACCGGTCACCGAGCGGGAAGTCATGGGGGTAAAGCCACCAGACGTTCAGGAGCTCGGATGCCCCCGGTTTTTTGCATCCGATTCAAGCTCCGAACGTCTGGTCACGAGACTACGTAACTCCAACTCTTTGCCGAACAGGCCCTAACTTCATCAGCAAAAAAGCGAAACGGATGGTCAGTGATGACCAGGTTTCGCAATTCTGACCAGATTGGGCAAGGTATGAGAAGTAGATGGTAAACCCGTACCAAATCC